AACATGGTTGCTGTGACAGATTTTTCTTGCACTGTTTGACCCGGACCGGTCAGGAAAATTGGGGTGTGGTTTGTAGCTCAGGTTGATGGTTTGTGGGGTCTTGTGTTCGCCGAGCTTGGCGAACACAAGACCCCACAAACCTGGGGAATAAACAAGCAGTTCTGAGGTTCTTCTGTCGGATCATGTCAGGTCTCAGGACGTGCGGCTTAAGTCAGGTGCCATCCAGTTTCCTTCACTGGAGGGGCAACCAGATGAGCGATGCTGAGGTTAGGCGCTGAGTTTTAGGTAACCGCGGTCGCCCACTGGAGCAAGTCACCGATCTCCATAGATTACTTTGGTTGGGGCATATGTTACGCATGTCACCGAATAGGTTGCCACGGCGAGTGATGCTTGCCGAGGCAGGTAGTGGGTGGGAAAAGGCCAAGAGCGGTCAAGCTAAGACCTGGCACGAGGGTATGGAAACACTANAAACACTAACCAGGAGACTGGCTCGCATAGGCCACTTTAGGCTCCCTAGCTGGGGACCTCGGGATGATCTTAACCGATGGTTAAAAACACTAAAGGATATGGCTGAGTATCGTAAACAGTGGCGTTCGTGCATCTCAATTTCTTTGCAACATTAGTTCACTAAACTGTCCCATTCTCTATTCGACTCTACTCTCAACTTTCCTGTCCGACTGTTCATCCAAATGGAGAGCCAAAAGACAGCAACCAAAACCGGCGCACGCAAGTGCATAATTAATGGTTGTCCAAACTGAAACTGATGAGCTGCGATCGTCTTCCCAGCGTAACGTTTGTTTTCTTTCTTTGATATGCACCGGTCAAATAGAGACTACTACGAACTCGTGGTGGTGGTCTAGTAGCCTACACCAAGTCATACCTCATGTATTTCCGTAGAAATTAAACCGGGTTTTCTTAGTAAATATCGTTGTATTGTAGCATGAAATATTTACATCATGCCCTCCAGTACAAATTCTGATGTTCAGACGTCTGCTGATTTATTTTTATTCCAATTTTCTAACTACACTGAACATCATCATCATCATTGTACAGCGTGATACAGTGAAGCGAACTTCACTGATTGCTACCAAACTCATGGTGCATACAAAGTAAGAGAATATATAAGCAGGATAGGGATTGGGCTTATTGTTAAGGACGGGAAAAGATAGCAAACCCCTGTGGTCAGCACACAGTGCGCAGTCCAGCTGTGCATGCATACTATTTCAATCATTCTGGACTCTCCCTTTTTGTTATTAGTGCGGATTTTAATCTCCAGACCTGTCTCTCTCCACAATCTTGTAAACTTCCCCACAACAGGGGACGCGCGGCTTGACCTTGTTTTCAAATGATTGTGTGCTATTCGCTTTCCGACGAGGAACTTCTCTGACCAACTCCGATCATTGTATCATAAATGTTTTGCCAAAAGTCTACTCAAAGAAACATCATGGTTCGCTGAAACGTACATCCAGCCGGAAAACTTTTCACACGCTGCGTGACCCGGCCCACTTGGTATCACCGAGAAAAATGATCTTACACAAATTTTGATCAGCTCTTTGACCCAAGTGTCTCGGTCGAGTGTGAACACCTCACTGGTTATTCGAACTTCTGCTTTGACCTCCGCTGCCCTATGGCCCCTATGTACATCACCCCCGCCAAATTTTCTTCCCCGTTTTTGAGGACAGAAGAATCAAAAAAGCGGTTTGGATTCCTGGCTTTTACTCAGGCGGCCCGGGTTCGACTCCCGTCGTGGGACTGTGGTTTTCGGGTGGTGGTGGCGCATTGGTTTATTCGCTGTCACCGGCGTGCTTTGAACCCTGTAGTCCGAGGTTCGAGCCGCGCTATCATCCAACTTTGGTGGTAAGTAGCTTTGCTGTCGTCGGGTTCATTACTACGCCAAACCCATCGGGACCTTATGTGGTTCGCTACTCCAAGTCCTGCGGGGCTTAGGTTATCGGTTTCCATCACTAAACAACAGGTTCTCGTAACTGTGGGGCCTATTTCGTCTGCTGTTCACACTAAACGTGTGTAATAAAAATCGTGACCGAGTCTCAGTTAAACCAAGACAGAACCAAAATCTTGACATACCCTACACTGAAACCCTACTTGGTGATCTAGAGTGCTATGAAAAAACTCTGGAACAAAAGTCGGACTACGCGGGCCTCAACTTATAGCAGCTGAACTCAACTGCACGTTTTCCACGTCAGTTCAAACTGTCGTCCGGTTCAATACCACGCCTAACCTATCGGGGCCTTATGTGGTTCACCACTCCAAGTTCCGGGGCTTAGGTTGCCGATTTTAACCACTGAACAGCAGGTCCTTGTGACTATGGGGTTTACCCCGTCTGTTGTTCATCACACCTAGGTGTGTAATAAAAAAACTTAAGTATCGGAATCATATCTCCAATCAGTTGACCATCGTGAATTTTGCATGTCACTTCTGAGCAGGCGTGGGTACAGCTTATGCACCTCAAAACATAAAAAGCTCCCGGTCCCGATAGACTATGTTCTGTCGTCCTGAGAGAATCTGGCTGAGCCACTTTTCGGTATTTTCAACCGTCGCTTCGACAAGCAAAAAATGGGCCATGCGCACCACACCAGTCCCCGAAAGGAAACCAGGAAGTTTCAACCAATGGTCTGCACTTCCGTTTTACCAAAGAGTTTTCGAAAATTTCATACTTAATACTATTTTTCACACAGACAATTCGCTTGTCGTAAATAACGTTCTACGCCCTTGCGCTCTTGGTAAACTTGGTTTTGCAATCCCTAGACAGGCATGGCACAGCATTTCGTGTGTTTATCCTCGGCTACAGTAATGCATTTAATTGTCTTTAAGGACAGGCTTTTGTCTCTATTCCATGGTGTTGGATAGTCAATTACTGCTCTGCCTCTTCTCCAAGATCATTTTACCGGTAGAACACACTTCACGAAGTTTTTCGGAAAAGCTTCTGACTTGGTGGTCCACCGACCCGGTTTTCGTCCTGGATGTTGGTCTCACTTTCGTGGAGGAACACCTTTGACATGGGAAGGCAGGGATTAGGGCTTCCTCAGCAGAAGCCGTTTGAGACGCTTGGTCCTATAGGAGCATTTCGTGAGGCACAAGGGAAGGGTAACCAACCACAACCCGAGACTCCCACCGCGACCATATTAGGGCATTCGGAAGGCGTTTTAGTGATGGCAAACAGTATCGGCAATGGCAAGTTTCGAATAACAAAGCTACCTGACCATCAACGCTCAGATTGCTGAACTCGGGGAGATTCTTCGGATTCGCTCCCTTAAACCATTCTCATCTGATCGCACTATTCATTCCCCGGGATCTGTTAGAATGGGCCATTACAAGTAGGGTCCGTAACAAACAAATATTCAATGTTGAGAAATATAAACAAAAACGATTGATAGAAGTTTCAGTTTCATTAACTGAAATTCGCAGCTGGCCGAGTGGTGGTGACTAATTAGTGGAAAAGGACGCAGCCAAAGTATTACAGTGAAAAAGGGAATACCCAATGCGGTTGAATACTCTCGGGTTAAGCAGAGCTGAATGCTACCAAGCGCGTCCCCGGATTGTGGACAGGGGATACCTTCACCGAAGAAGGTTAACTGTGAACAAGTTGTGGCATACCGCAACAAATAAGCAGTCACGAACAAACAGCGGCGGCACTAACTAGCAGGTTGTGATGGGTTTCAGGCTGGTCACCTGGCGCCTGTTTAAAAGCCACAAGCCCAGTGACGGTGTCGTGACAAATCGATGTGACTGGCTTTTTAAAGCTCAAGTTATCAGCCCCCTCACTTCCGAGGTGAGGGATTAATTCCTGTTGCCTTGCAGTTCACAGTTGGTTTTGCAAAGGCTAGAGGTGCACCCTCCAAATTAAAACAACCGCCGAGTGACCCTGGCCACGTCTCTCGTATGAAACTCCCAAGAAACTCCATGATCATATCGGGAGCCGGCTTATGCTTTCCAAGAAACCAGCCGCAATAAAGTAAAAAGCAAAATAAGTAAGTTGTGTATTGCTTGACGTGGGGG